GTGACTCCATCCCCAGACTCCTTCCTTATGCCCCCAATTCCCCTCCCCAGACCAATCTCTACTCCCCCCCAAGTTCCCCACTCTACTGGGACTCCCTCTCCCACCCCTTCCTTCTGCCCCCCCAGTTCCCCTCCCCAGACTCTTGCCTTCTGCCTCCCTGATTCCCTCACTATTGTCCCTTCACTTTGCAGCCTCTTTCTCCCCCATCCAGCCCAGGCACGGTCCCCGCCATCATGGAACATCCTCAACCAATCCCCCCACCCATCCCTAGGTCCTCTGGCCCCGCTGCGATCGACCCTCCCCGTCCTGCCCCACCTCCTGCAGCTCCTCGTAGCTGATGCAGAAGAAGTTCTCGCGGCCCCGCAGCCCCAGCCAGCCCTTGACGTGGTCGAACCAGGAGCCGAACAGAACTGGAAATGCAAAGGGGGGGGTGTCACCCCGGGGAACTGCCCCACAGATCGGGGGAGGGGTGTTCCTACCCCAGCTAGTAGCCGTAGGGAGGACTCGGGAGCTTCAGGCAGAGCCTGGCCCTGCCCCGGGTGTGACTGGAGTGTGAGTCTGGGGGAGCCGAGCTCCGAATCAGACCCTGTCCCCATGGCAACAAAGGGACGCTCTAGATCGGCTCGACCCCAGAGGAGCTGAGAGATGTACTGGGGTCGTAGCCTGGCTGGAGAGCAGACTGGGGACAGGGTGAAGGCACCCAAACTACAGCTCCCATGATGCATGGCAGCAGTAGGGCACTTGAGAGGAGTGTGAGTCTGGGGGAGCCGAGCTCCGAATCAGACCCTGTCCCCATGGCAACAAAGGGACGCTCTAGATCGGCTCGACCCCAGAGGAGCTGAGAGATGTACTGGGGTCGTAGCCTGGCTGGAGAGCAGACTGGGGACAGGGTGAAGGCACCCAAACTACAGCTCCCATGATGCATGGCAGCAGTAGGGCACTTGAGATAGACTGCAGTGCCTCATGGGAGTGCCTGACCACAGTGCACCATCAACTATTGTTCCCCTGATTCACTCTCTACCAAGCTGCATGGCTAGATTACAGCTCCCATGATGCACCACTGGGTTGCAGTGCACCCTGGGAGATGTAGTCCAACTGGAGAGTTTCAGCCCATTGAGGAGACAAGGAAGGTGAGGTTGCTTTTCCCAAAATGCACTGGACTGGGTGGGTGGGAGAGGCTGTAATGCAGTGCATCATGGGAGCGCTTGTCCATGATGCAGCATGGGAAATGTAGTCCGGTCACATAAGGGACTAGGGACAGCACGTGGCATTGTGTTTCCAAATAGAGATTTTTCTTGAGGGTTGGATTTGACCAAAAAAAAAAAAAAAAATCTAATATTTATGAAGGACTTTGTGAATTCTGCAGAGAGGAAGTAGAGAATCTGGCATATGCAATGAAGAAATGAAGACACTACATTTATAAATTTTAGAATAAGGACACATTTAGAATGACACATTTTAATTCTGAGTTTGGATGGGGGGTAGGTTCACAAAGTGTTTAAAGTTGGTTTGAAGAACATGGGGGAGGCCCATCTCCGGTCCAGCAATTAATTCTGCCACCAACCACCAAACATACCAGGTTACGTCTACACTAGCTCGTTAGTTCGAGCTAGATAGGGTTATTAGCGCAAGTGGAGTTACAAATGAAGCCCAGGATTTAAATATCCCAGCCTTCATGCGCATGTTCCCGGGTGCCACCATTTTTGAATCCCCCTTAGTTCAAACTCTGTGCCAGCAGCTACACACGGCCCAGAGTAGGTAGTTCGAATTAAAGATCCTAATTCGAACTACCAGTACACCGCACTTCTCCCTGTCCTCCTGCCTCTCCAGAGGTTCCTTCCCCCCTTCCCAGGCTGGCAGGAGCAGAGGCTCCCTGCCCCACAGACAGGACTGGGGGTGAGGGCTCCCCCTGCCACCCCACATACCACTCACCCTCCCCTTGCAGGAAGGCACCCAGTAGCTCCTCCAGGGACTCTGGCTCTTCCAGGAAGTTTGCCAGCTTGGAGAAATGATAGAGGGAAACCAGCAGGTCCTTGGGGTTACGGACGGTGTAGATGACCTGCAAGAAGGTGCATAAGCAATGCTTGTCCTGGGGGGCTGGCAGCCAGGACCCCTCAACCTGTCCCTGGTGGGGGGTGGTCGCAATTGTGAGGAAGCAGGTTGTAGATAAGGGACCCTTGCTCTAACCACTAAGCCACACTCCTCCCCCTCAGCTGGGTGAGAACCCAGGACATTTAGCGTCCCTTGTGTTAACTACTAGGCCATCGTGCCATAAGCAGAACCGCTGCCCTTAGGATTCTGCACAATGGGGAGGGTGGAGCGAGACCCCCTGAGCCTTCTCCCACAACCGGGTAAGGGAGCTACCATTTGGGATCCCGGAATAGGGGACCGGGGAGCCCCCCACGCCCATTGCACCTTGGCTTTGGAGCCCCAGAAGGATTTGGGAAAGAGCTGGATGGGCAGGTGGGAGCTGATGAGGCGGGGGGGCTTTGCAGCCTTCAGCTTCTCCATGTTCTCAGAGAGATCGAGCCAGGGGATCCGCTCCCAGATGGGCACACTGAGGCTCCAGGACGGGTCCCCCTGCTGCCAGATGAGGGTCAGGATCTCCTGCATCCAGTTGGAACCTAGGATGGGAGCAAAAAACAGGTGCAGCCTGCTCCCCTCCCACAGCCGGGGAGAGACCCAGCCCCACCCTGCTCTAACCACTAGACCCCACTCTCCTCCCAGCAGGAATGAAGGGGTGTGAATGAATGGAGGGGTGTGTGCTTGCTTGTCTGTATGTGTGTGTGTGTGTGTGTGTGAGAGAGAGAGTTTTATCTTCTTTAGCTTAAACCTTTGGTGGCTGCTTTCTCCTCATTAGTTTTACCTAGCAGCAATAAACCCGTACTAGTGTAACCCTGGTGGTCTCCAGTGAGAATATATTTGGGGTAACACTCCCCTCCCAGAGACAGGGAGAAAACCCAGGCGTCCTAGCGCCTAGGCCCCATCCTGCTCTAGCCACTAGCCTGCACTCCCCTCAGAGCCAGGGACAGAATCCAGGAGTCTTGGCACCCAGCCACGTCCTTATCTAACCACTAGAACAGGGGTGGGGAACCTTTTTTGGGTCAAGGCCACTGGCTCACAGAAAAATCAGTCGGGGGCTGCAAACAAGTGAGAAACAAAAAACAAACCAACCAACCCATCTGTCACCAGGAGCCCCGAGCCTCTGGGGATGGAGCCAGGCAAGCCAGGGGCTGCATCTGGCCCCCAGACATCATGTTCCCCACCTCTGCACTCAACCCTGCTGCCCTTCCACAGCTGGGGAGAGAACCCAGGAATCCTGGCTCTGAGCTCCTCCTGCTCTAACCACTAGACCCTGCTCCCCTCCCAGAGCTAGGCAGGGAAACTGCAAGGCCCCTGGGTTTTTGCTGTACATGTGAGACACCCCCCCAGGCTGTGGCATGGGGTGGAGTTGAGGGGATTAGTTCAGGGCAGGACTGGGAAGCAGGGCTCCCGGATTCACTTCCGAACTCTGGGAGGGAAGCGGGGCCTAGTGGGTGGAGTCGTGGGGCGGGGAGGGTCCCTACCTGACTTGGGGTAGGTAACACTAAAGATGTCGTCGTCCAGCACCTGGAAGCAGTTCCCTACGAAGTCGATCGTCTCGGGGTCGTAGATCTCTGCAGAGAACGGGATCCCCTTGCAGGAGAAGCTGCGTCTGAGCATCTCGGCCGCGGCTCCCTGCGGGCGGGGGGAGAAGCTCACGGCCTGCCCATGCAGTCAGGTGCCGTATCCCAGGGCAGGGGGCACGTGGAGCCCACTTCCCCTCCCAGGGCTGGGGACAGAGCCCTACACTTAAGATAAAGGACACATCCGGGTACAATTTTTACCCCCTTCTGTGCCTCTCAACTCCAGCGGGTCAAGCCAGGGCCGGTCCCTCAATTCCTGGGAAAGATGAATACGAGGTGGAACCTCGGGAGCTCAAACACCTAACCCGACCAGCAGATAGATGGCAGATTGACAATCAGAGGAAATGTGCTGCTGGACTCATCTATATACCCCTGGGGGCCCGTATCCTCTTTCTTATCTAAGATGCCAAATTGTACTGGTCCGTTTCTGTGGCGCCAGTTCTTACAAGCAAGTTTCAAGTTAATTTACACTTGCAAGGGAGATAACTAAATTGTGAGGACTGGACTTTTTTTTTTTACTGGGCGAGAGAGTCCTCCCCCCGCGGAGGCTGTGTGTTTGTATCAATATGGGTTTTAGTCAAGGGCACTCCTGGTAAGCAATTGGCGTGTCTCTGTTTACAGCCATTCAGGGTCACACGGCACCCTGCATATCCAGGCAAGCAAAGATGGATGTTACAGGGGACTTCCTCTCTGACTACAGCATCCTGGCCCCTCTCTTCCACCTGGGACTGTCCTGGGTACAACCTGGGGCTGTTGAGTCCCAGGTTCCCTGCATTTCCCCAGGACCCCAAGAGAACTTAGCCCGAGAGGAGACATGCCGGGGACCCATTCTCTGCCCCCCAGTCTGCCCCTTCCCAGCCGATCCCCCCTCAATAAAATCTTCCCCATGGCCCCTTCTCCACCCGTTTCCCGACAAAGGGATCACGGTCACCCTCCCTCCTCTGCCCTTTTCTCCCGCTGCCTGGGAGCGGCAGGTCTGGTCACCCTGGTCCTCTCCCCTCTGCCCTGCATGCGATCGCTGGCCTGCACCAGCTGGCTGCCAAGCTGGGGTGTGTCTCCTGATTGCCACTCGCTGGGCCCCCAGTCTCCGAGGGCACGCCTGGCCCCGAGCCCCAACACACCCCCTCCCACACACCATCACCTTGCTACACACACAGCACACAGGGAAACTGAAGGACACGCTGCACTCCTGGAAACCATTAAGAAAATCCCCACTATATTCACTTTGTCACAGGGAAAGACAGGGTGGGGAACCCCCAAAAGGAGTGTGTGATGGGCAGGGGCAGGCTGAGTCCCTGTAACAAAGTGGGGATTTTATTCTCCTTGGGATGTGGCATGTGCTCTCTACTGTCCCACAGTCTGCACCATCAACCTGTGGAACTCCTTGCCAGAGGAGCGGAGTGTCCTGGAAAAACCCTGCCGCCTAGACGTACCCTCAGATGCTGAGGAGAAAAAGAAAGACAGAAAAGAAAAAAAAAGAGGAAACCCCGAGATGGGAGGGCAACATCAGTGCTAATTAGATCAGTGTGGACGCGGCACATCTCTTAAAGGAAACGACCTATTCTCATGGCAGAACCGTTCTGGATGTTGGTTGACACCTGTTCTGGGGCTCAAATTGGCCTCTGCCGTCCAGCTCTGCGGTTTCTCTCTGCGGTTTGGTTTGGAAGCTTTTCTGGGTGAGCAGGGCAACTTGCAAGTGTGTGGCCCAAGGGGAGTTTGCAGTGACCCGGGCCAGGCAGAGTCGTCCAGAGCCGTGTTTCTCAACCTTTCTTTTTTAGAAAGTACCCCTTTAAAAAACAGGATAAGTACCCCCAATACCTACAGTTCTCAGACACCCAACTTTTTATTCTACCATTGCAACACATTTGTGTAAACGTTCTCCTAGCCGGGCGGGCGATGACATTTTTGGATGGAAAAAGCACAAAAACAATAAAGAACTGTCAGCCTTAAGCAAACCTTCCATTTTCTTCAATTTTCAGTTGTGGCGATGCACCATCCCCTTCCTCCCCCCCAGACGTCTCTAGAATA